CTTGTGATAAACGTGTGTTTCAAATCTATTAACATATTATTGAAAAATCACAGGAATAAATTACATTTTAAAATATATTCAAATTGAAAACAGTTATTTTAAATTGTAATATCTGACAATATTTCTGTTCTTACCGTATTTGTGATTAAATAAATGCAGCCTTGATGAGCATAAAATACTTTTTAAACCCAAAACTTTGAATGGTTTGAATGAAACATACATTAAAAAATATACTAAACAATACATTAGAATGTTATGTATTATGTATTCATTTTGCTGTATATTACCTTTGAACTTGCACATTACGGAGCAAAAAGGTAAGTTTGCTGGATGCCAACTATTGTGTCCTAAATTCCTCTTTTGCTGCTGTGAATTCATCTAAATAAATACATGAAATATGTTGACAATGGAAGCTGTAGCTCATTTCCCGCGAGGGGCCAGAGTTTGAGTGGCACTGCTATAGTAATAGTCAAGTGAGTGTGGTTCTCAGCGTTTGGTTATTTACAGAAAGCGCTGAGTAGGGCAGAATTTGGATGACTGCAGAGCGACGGGCACTACGCTGAGGGAGATACAGGAAGAGCCAACACACAGCTACACAGTCGTAGTCCCTGACTTCACACAGCCCTGCATGCTCCAGCACTTCCTGTAGGAGCGCCCCAACCTCCTCCACTACTTCCTGCCCAGCGCTGAATCAACAAGCAGGGATAAGAGCAGGAAGTCAGTCTACAAGGTGGGCAGAAGGGTGTGTGCAGAGAGGCCAGCACTCCGGCGGCTGGGTGTGTGGGTCGCCAGGTTCATCAGGAAAGATATCAAATGGACAAAAACAAAGGGAGGGAAAGTTGAGGGGAGAAAGAGTGACAGGTGAAGACGTCTGAACATCCGAACAGACAAAAGCTAGCATACTTACACATCCCACAGGGGTTGAGACAAAGGCAGGAAGCTCAGGACTTCCCGTCCTCAAGGCTTGAGGAACTACAGCGTGACTATGACCTTCCACGGCTAAGACCGCAAACAGAGGCCTGTTGGCTTTGGAGAGAGACATGACAGTGCAGAGGCATTCTACTGGGACACATGATATCATTGCAGATGACCCAAATAACATGCCATTACATTTCCTGTTGGTCTGAAGCACAGCAAGTGCCCTGCCGAAGAACACTGCCATATACAGACCTTACAGTCTTCTATGTAGTCCACTCATTGTTTTAAAGCTATGTGGGGTGGTTTGATTTGGTGATTAAATATATGAGATGGTAACTGAAAGGCTATAGGTATGACCCTGCAAATGTGATGCATTGTGCTCTTGAATGAGACACTTAAAGGGACAGTTCACCCAAACAAAAAGTTGTTCCAAATCCACAAGACTTTTGTTCATCTTTGGAACCTAAATTAAGTCTTGGGGACCCAAATTAAGTCATGGGGCCTGTAATTTTTGTCTATCCATTGAAAGAATAGACCAACCAAAATTTTCAAGCTTCAAAAAGTATGAAAGCACATCCAAAAAGTAACCCAAATTAATCGGTTTAATCCAAGTCTTCTGAAGAGCCACGATCGCTTTATATGATGAAGATAATTAATTTAGGCTTTTATTTTAATTCAACATTGATCAACACACAAACACATACACATCAAACATGGCAAACACTTAAGTGCAACTAAACTTGCTTGACACATGAGAACCAGTAATGTACGTGTTAATTTGTGTACTGAAGATTAACTGAAATCTTACAGGTTTGGAATGAAACAAGGATGAGTATAAGATGACAGAATTTGACTATTTTATTTTTTTCTTTGAATGGTCCATTAATGGAAATTTAGAAGCTAAAACTCTTACTAGTGTGTCCTGCAACGCCTATTTTAAACCACAGCACCATGTGAGTTTTAAGTTAAAAGTGCCTGGTAACGTGAAACAACAGTGACGGCATCTTTCTATTTTGTTGTCTTTGCTGGCTGAACACACACATACAAAGAGAGAGTGGGAGACCGAATTAAAATAATAATAATAATAATAATAATAAAATTAGACCAGCACTGCAGTCTAATTCACAAAAAAATTTGTAATTATCAAAGTTGAAAACATATTTTTTTTCAGAATTCTTTATAAACGAAAGTCCAAAATAACTATTTATTTGAAACAGAAATCTTTTTTAACACTTTTAAATGTCTGTCACTTTTGATCAATTTAATGCATCCTTCCTTCCTGAAACAATTTCATAAAAATAGAAAAAAACAATCTTACTTGTCACAGACTTTAAAACTGTAGTGTGTGTGAGAAAAAGAGTTTTGTTTGTTTGTTCACCCGCTACAAAATCTGAATTCTGTAGAAAACACTGCATCATCTTTCACAAGCAACCCAACCCACTTGTCAGCAAATATGATGTATGTTTTGAATATATATTTACACAAGCATGCAGACAATTCATGCACTAAGAAGGAAGAAAAGACCAAGAGAGGAAGAGACTTTAAGAAAGGTTTATTAGCAGCAGATAGGAGGAGGTAAACGTATAAGACATGGTTTTTACCATGGAACTGATGACTCAATTAGATGCATTGTAGTTAGACAGAGAAGACTCTTACCAGCTCACGTGGAAGGAATATGTCTTCCTGTCTGGCCACAACCAGACACACACTGTCCCCCTGCTTAGTACTTCGCAACATGGCCACCAGTTCCTCCTGAGAATGGCCAGTGATGTCCACACCGTTCACCTGAATACACACATGCACTCGCTTTCATTGGATTTCATATGCACCTTCACACTGATGTGAAACGAAAGTGATTTTTCTATTTCAAGCAATCAAATACATTACTATACTAGAAACACTCCATCTTACTCCAGAAAGAGACTCACTTCTAGGATCCTGTCACCCGATTGCAGGCGGCCATCTTTGACAGCAGCTCCTCTGGGTAGGATGTTTTTGACGAGGATGGGACCAGCCCCATGCACAGAAGAATCTCTGGTCACAACAGTGAAGCCCAGACCTTCAGGACCTACGTGGAGGTTGAGAGCGATCGGGATTAAAGGGGTCATATGATGTTGTTAAAAAGAACATTATGTTGTGTATTTGGTGTAATGAAATGTGTTTATGTGGTTTAAGGTTAAAAAAACACATTATTTTCCATATAATGTACATTATTGTTGCTCCTCTATGCCCCGCCTTTCTGAAACGCGTCGATTTTTTACCAAGCTCATCGTTCTGAAAAGCGAGGTGTGCTGTGCTGTGATTGGCCAGCTATCCAGTGCGTTGTGATTGGCCGAATACCTCAAGCATGTGACGGAAATGTAACGCCCCTTACCATGTCCCAGTATGACGAGACAAAACCAATAAAACCCATTACAAACGAGGCATTTGTTGCATCCAGTGGGGACATAATTACGGATTATAATGACTTAGATAATGACTTGAGAACGGCGTGGCCGGCGGGCTTGCGGCAACCACATGTGACGACCTCGGGCTGGACTCCGTGAAGTTGATGTATTTCCTCAGCGACCAGCACTGATCAGCTCTAAGCATGACGACGCGATATCATCCTCTTTTGGAAGGCCAAACAAAGTAGTTTCGCTTTCACAACGAATCACACAGTGCCTTCACGACATGGCGACGGCGGGCAACAACAATACTACAGCGAGAATAAAAGTTACGCCTTCTTTCTTTGCGTGAACAGTTGGTCGGTGTTAAGGCGTGTTTAACCGAGGCGTTTTAGGAGGGCGTGGACAAGTCTTAACTTTTATAAAGAATATCTCTTTGGGTTTGAGACTTTAGCCTTTTTCTTTTTTTTTAAAGATAAGAGAGTAAGATTTTTTTTAAAGTTTTATTCAGCAAAGATTTATTAAATTGTTCAAAGGTGACAGTAAAAACAACTGTAATGTTACAAAAAATAAAAATAAACATTTGTATCACGGTTTCCACAAAAATATTAAACACTGAAAACACTAATAAATGTTTCTTGAGCAGCAAATCAGCATATTAGAATGATTTCTGAAGGATCATGTGACACTGAAGACTGAAGTAATGACAATTTTTTGTAAAGCAATTACATTTTAAAATACATTATAATAGAAAACAGTTATTTTATATTGCAATGATATTTCACAATATTACTGTTTTTATCTGTATTTTAGTGACATAAATGCAGCCTTGGCGTGAATGAGGCTTATTTCATAAACATTAAAAAACAGTATATTTAATAATAGCACATAAGATGCATTAAAATTGTTATATCAATTATAATATAGGAAATTTAGAAGCTAAAACTCTTACTAGTGTGTCCTGCAACGCCTATTTTAAACCACAGCACCATGTGAGTTTTAAGTTAAAAGTGCCTGGTAACGTGAAACAACAGTGACGGCATCTTTCTATTTTGTTGTCTTTGCTGGCTGAACACACACATACAAAGAGAGAGTGGGAGACCGAATTAAAATAATAATAATAATAATAATAATAAAATTAGACCAGCACTGCAGTCTAATTCACAAAAAAATTTGTAATTATCAAAGTTGAAAACATATTTTTTTTCAGAATTCTTTATAAACGAAAGTCCAAAATAACTATTTATTTGAAACAGAAATCTTTTTTAACACTTTTAAATGTCTGTCACTTTTGATCAATTTAATGCATCCTTCCTTCCTGAAACAATTTCATAAAAATAGAAAAAAACAATCTTACTTGTCACAGACTTTAAAACTGTAGTGTGTGTGAGAAAAAGAGTTTTGTTTGTTTGTTCACCCGCTACAAAATCTGAATTCTGTAGAAAACACTGCATCATCTTTCACAAGCAACCCAACCCACTTGTCAGCAAATATGATGTATGTTTTGAATATATATTTACACAAGCATGCAGACAATTCATGCACTAAGAAGGAAGAAAAGACCAAGAGAGGAAGAGACTTTAAGAAAGGTTTATTAGCAGCAGATAGGAGGAGGTAAACGTATAAGACATGGTTTTTACCATGGAACTGATGACTCAATTAGATGCATTGTAGTTAGACAGAGAAGACTCTTACCAGCTCACGTGGAAGGAATATGTCTTCCTGTCTGGCCACAACCAGACACACACTGTCCCCCTGCTTAGTACTTCGCAACATGGCCACCAGTTCCTCCTGAGAATGGCCAGTGATGTCCACACCGTTCACCTGAATACACACATGCACTCGCTTTCATTGGATTTCATATGCACCTTCACACTGATGTGAAACGAAAGTGATTTTTCTATTTCAAGCAATCAAATACATTACTATACTAGAAACACTCCATCTTACTCCAGAAAGAGACTCACTTCTAGGATCCTGTCACCCGATTGCAGGCGGCCATCTTTGACAGCAGCTCCTCTGGGTAGGATGTTTTTGACGAGGATGGGACCAGCCCCATGCACAGAAGAATCTCTGGTCACAACAGTGAAGCCCAGACCTTCAGGACCTACGTGGAGGTTGAGAGCGATCGGGATTAAAGGGGTCATATGATGTTGTTAAAAAGAACATTATGTTGTGTATTTGGTGTAATGAAATGTGTTTATGTGGTTTAAGGTTAAAAAAACACATTATTTTCCATATAATGTACATTATTGTTGCTCCTCTATGCCCCGCCTTTCTGAAACGCGTCGATTTTTTACCAAGCTCATCGTTCTGAAAAGCGAGGTGTGCTGTGATTGGCCAGCTATCCAGTGCGTTGTGATTGGCCGAATACCTCAAGCATGTGACGGAAATGTAACGCCCCTTACCATGTCCCAGTATGACGAGACAAAACCAATAAAACCCATTACAAACGAGGCATTTGTTGCATCCAGTGGGGACATAATTACGGATTATAATGACTTAGATAATGACTTGAGAACGGCGTGGCCGGCGGGCTTGCGGCAACCACATGTGACGACCTCGGGCTGGACTCCGTGAAGTTGATGTATTTCCTCAGCGACCAGCACTGATCAGCTCTAAGCATGACGACGCGATATCATCCTCTTTTGGAAGGCCAAACAAAGTAGTTTCGCTTTCACAACGAATCACACAGTGCCTTCACGACATGGCGACGGCGGGCAACAACAATACTACAGCGAGAATAAAAGTTACGCCTTCTTTCTTTGCGTGAACAGTTGGTCGGTGTTAAGGCGTGTTTAACCGAGGCGTTTTAGGAGGGTGTGGACAAGTCTTAACTTTTATAAAGAATATCTCTTTGGGTTTGAGACTTTAGCCTTTTTCTTTTTTTTTAAAGATAAGAGAGTAAGATTTTTTTTAAAGTTTTATTCAGCAAAGATTTATTAAATTGTTCAAAGGTGACAGTAAAAACAACTGTAATGTTACAAAAAATAAAAATAAACATTTGTATCACGGTTTCCACAAAAATATTAAACACTGAAAACACTAATAAATGTTTCTTGAGCAGCAAATCAGCATATTAGAATGATTTCTGAAGGATCATGTGACACTGAAGACTGAAGTAATGACTGTTGAAAAGCTTTGCTTCACAGGAATCAATTACATTTTAAAATACATTATAATAGAAAACAGTTATTTTATATTGCAATGATATTTCACAATATTACTGTTTTTATCTGTATTTTAGTGACATAAATGCAGCCTTGGCGTGAATGAGGCTTATTTCATAAACATTAAAAAACAGTATATTTAATAATAGCACATAAGATGCATTAAAATTGTTATATCAATTATAATATAAAATACAAATAAAAAAATGTGAAATTTAAATAAATTTTACAGTATTTACATAAAACTGACTAAAATAATTTAATATTAGTAGTCTGCATACACATCAAATTGATTTGTTGGCGACATATTTGTGCTATTAGGTTTCTGTTTTTCTTTTCAGTTAATATTCCAAAAGGATCTATCATACTTTAAATCATAAATTCTTTTCTTAAAACAAAGTGCTGCAGAAAATTATTTGGAGATCTTAGCAAAGATCCAAAGTCTGTATTATAAATACCTCAAACCTCAAAAAAAAGTTTGTGAAAGTAAACAGAGAAAGCGAGAGGGAGAGATAATGCTAAAAATCGAAATGTTCTTTCTTTCTTACACAACTTAAAGTCAACACAAGCCTGACTCGCAACAGAAATACCATTACTCATATCAGGACGGCCTCCGGATGCTGACATTTACACTTTTCAGATGAAATTCAAGTAAAAAAAATCTTAATGGTAAAAAAATAAGCACCTGAATAGAAATCATTCCCATTTTTTCTTTCAGCCCAGATAAAAAGAAGATATTAAAAGAGGAGACTGGTGTCTAGCACAGGTGGTGGTCCATTTAAACCGAGCTGCCGCCTTGACCTGTGCATATTGCTTCTTACATCAGTCTCGATGCTGTCATGGTGACTGATAGGTAGATTAGAGAAAAGGCTTTTTCCCCCTGTGTGACATGAGGCATGTCTTTAGGGTGGATATTTCCAGTCCTGTCCCTGAGATCAGGGATAAAATGATGGACAGAGCGTGGGGGTGAAGAAACTAAAAACTAGACTGCCTGAGGGCCAGTGGTTGTTCTTTAACACACCCTGCATCAGACTACAGAGGGCAATACACATTGAAGCCAGTCTGTGAAAAAAATAAGCACAGCTGGAGTGTTCAGACAGCATTTTATGCTCGTCATTTAGCACAATCGTTTTACGGTCAGCACTTTTTTGTTCCAACGATGAATTTATATAATCATTAATGACAGAATCAATAAGAACTTAATAGACTTCTTATGCAGCCTGAAATTACAGCTTCATTCATTCGGTTAGACTGCCAAACCCACCGACTACAAAGTTGACCAATGTTTGAGTGAGGGAGAGAATCATTGTAAAAAGAAGAACATTAATTTAAAAGATCTTGCAGGAATTTCTTTGCTCTTTTAAAATGAGAGTTTTAATGCACTATGTAAGCATATTAATATGCAGGGATTTTCAATCTCGGATCCATAGATAATTTTGTTAAATAAATAAATGTGTTAATTCTAGATAAAAAAATCATAAACACAATGATACAAAAAATACGGTCCCTTTAATATCTCCGATAAATGTAACTTTTACACTGTAAAAGAAAGCAACTAAATATTTAGCCATTTATGGGACCTTTTGAGTCACAAATACTTAACACTAAGAAATGCAAATTACTTGAGACCAACAGAATTCCTCCAAATATTGTCCCAACTAATCAAACACAGTTGTCTAATCAAAGGATTTCAAATTGAACAATATTGCTAAAATGTTAAGGGTTTTTGAGTTCCCAGCATGCACTGCAGCATGAATAAATTATGAGGTTACTGTTACAGGATTACGGTTTCACCATTTTTGACTTCATTTCAAACTTTTGTTGTTGTTTTGTCATTATTGTTAGTTATTTGTTGTGATGTTAAGAGCTCATCTTTTAACATTTGTTGATTGTCACTGTTGTTAAGGTTTGTGTCAAGTCTCGAGGTCTTTGTTCAACTTTCTAAATCTTTATCCCAGATATCTTTGCTTTGTAGGAGACTGCGATTTCAGAAACAAAGATAGTATAGTTTATGTCACATATTAATTGTCCTATAAAATTCTATGCATAGGCTACCAAAACGATAGATCGATTTATTTTGTGCAACTATTTGACGAGAAATACATAGTTGCCTCCATGAATTTATTGGATGAATGAGACATTTTGCGTTAGTGAACGAACTAATTCAAAAAGACAGAACAAAGTAGTGTTACTTAAGCCAATTAAAACAATATTTGAGAGAACCTAAAAATCTGAATGCCTCCGGTTGTGTTAAATTTTTCTCAATAATTCCTTTTTTACAGTCCATCTTTCCCAGGTGTTTACCTTTCTTAAGGTCGATTCTGAGCCTCTTTCCACCCTTTTTGTTGTGGTTTTGTAGAGGTGATGGTCCCAGGCTGTTTTTCAGGAGGGGGCTGTCAGCACTTTTGCTTCTGGGGGTGGGTGAGTGCCTGATGGGTAATGGGGAGCCCAGAGAGCGACCCTCTAGACTGCTGTTGGACTCCTGAAACTCAGCTTGACATCCTGAGGAGGACTCCACAGGCATCACGATGGGCTTCACATTCAGCGGTGGAGGGTCTTTGGTCCGTGTGGATGCATCAGGGTTTTCTGAGTTGAAGAGGTGGCCGATCACACTCTTCTCAAAGCGTTCTTTATTAAAAACTGGAACAACTTCTAAACGAATGATGGATGAATGCATGGCTTGTCGGAATATTTCCTGTGCTCTGGAAAAGTCAGAGGGAGGAAGAGATAAGGAACACGAAATAGAAAAAGCAATTAAGAGGCAATCCATTTTTTTATAATTATTCGCAAATTGTTTGATGAAACAAATGAACCTGGAAACTAAAAAGAGGTGGAAATTGTAATATATTGAATAATCATGCTTTAGATAAAACTCACTCTGACATTTATTCTGACAGCATAATTGGGGTTATGACTAATGAGTCCTACGCATCACAAATGACAAAGCAATCCACCTCCTTTATATTTGCTTGACTGATTTAATTTAAAAACCATCCATCCATCCTGAGCATAATAAGATTAATGTGACCTTCTACTGGATAGAAGTAATCCTCCTTAGCGGAGATATGTATGTATAATGTATGCATAATGCACATGATGAAACTAGACAAAGTTTCAACAGGTATGGCAAGCTCTTCAGACTGAACTTGTATTAACCACAATCTAAAGTAAGCCTATGAGGAGCAACTGTATATTCCTTTTAAAATCTAAGAGGCATTCTCCCAGTTCAATTTATGCCACTACTTTGCTGATCATTTAGTGTGAAAACAGTGATTTCGGTTTTCCGTTGAACTGTAGTGTCCGACGATCTAATGAAGAATGTATGAAGAATATATCTTGTTAATTTGGGCTCTCTTCATACTATGATTGTACCATCAAAACTAACACAAATCTAACATTATACGTTAAAAACTGCCCCAAAACCCAATGGATTGTCTGTCACCGTTGGTTGAGTATGTTTCTGCTTTTGAGACCAGTCCAGAGTTGATAGCCATAAATAGAGTACCAACAATGGACACCATGCCTGTTTTTACAACCATTACATCAAAAGACCGGGCTAAAAACTAAAGAATATCAAGAGGTGGAGACAGAGAGAGCAGACCAGAAGGTGAAGCACAAAGAGACTCACTGTGAAAAGGATTTGTCCATTAATTCAGTATCATTAATTTTAACGATGCACTCGTCATCCTGAAAGATGCCTTCCCTTTTGGAGCGACTGTTCTCTTCCACCCCTCGAATGTGCAGACCCAGAGCCCTGAGAGAGAGCAAACCATAAATTACCAACAAAATAGAGCACAGCACCAGCCAGCGACTGGCCATGACAGGCTGTGCTATTGTATTATAATAGAACAACAGCACATGAAAAACACAATAATTACACATTAGATAATTACATATTTTTTTTAAAAACGACTTATTCAAGTAATAATATCAACACTGTCCACACCAGTGTATTGTAGGGAATTTCTGAAATGAGGAAAAGTCTCCTCTATGCATTTGGCTTTTTCTAAGTCCAGGATGAATTCATGTATCAGATCCGTTTGAGATGTTGTCCCCTCTAAAGCTTTATCTATTGATGTCATTGTAGGACAACGAGTGCTTCACACACTAATAAGATTTATTTTACTTCATTTATTTTTTTTCCCACCCATTTTATTTATTAATTAATTTATTACATCTATAAAAACGTATCACTACTTTACTGATGGAAAACCCTTTGCTTTAAGTTTCGCTTTACTGTTCTCCCTTTGCCCTCTCAAGCACCGTGAAAAACCCACATGCACAGACCGCTTGGCAAAACACAAGACATCAGCACTATGGCTGGCAGTGATAAAGGCTATCAGGCTGGAGAAACTCATAAAGCAGGAGCGGCAGATGAGTATTAATCCCTCAGTCTTCAGCCGCAGGCTCTGCACACAAGCTCATTCACCCTGAACAACACATTCACACATCACAGTGGGCCACAGCAGTGTCTGCAGTGCTGTAGAGGCATGGACAAATTGTGGAAGATACCTTTGCAGAAATTAAAATGGACATTTGTGGAGACTGAAATGGTTTCCTCAGAGAGGTGATATTTGACTGGAGGGATAAAGGTTGAGTTTTCTGTAAGTGTATGAAAGAAACTAAGTATATTCGTCTTCAGCTGCTGACAGCCAGCTCACAGCAAGAGCCACAATAACCAGCCTGTTTATGATTCTACACATCATTAAAAACATTCCCATGTCCACAGTTACAGCGCAGATCAACTTCAACAGCTATACTATGTGGCTTTAAACTCATATATACACGCAGTAGCGTTCAAAGGTCTGTCTGTTACACTTATTTGAAATAGAAATCTTTTGTAACATTATAAACATCTTTACTGTCAATGTTGATGAATTTAATGTATCCTTGTTGAATAAAAGTATTAATTTCTTAAAAAAATTCTCCCAAAATTTAGAACAGTAGTGTACAGTATATGCCAGAAATGTATCAATATGAGAGTGGCCAATGGTCATTTTAACACCAACATATAAAATATAACACATTTAATCAGTTACCAGCTGATTCCACACAAATACATTCATCGGCTGATTCCACCAATAATGTGAAATTCAAAATAAACTTTACTGTCCTCAAAGAAATGTTTTATCTTGAACTCCAGCATTCTGCACACTAACATATTGTGTGTTCATTGCCATTACCCAACAAAAATCATTATATAAAGCAGCACTTTAAACATCCATACATATACCGAACAATATTGCATCACAATAAAATCACGAAAACCACAAAAAACAGTAAAAACAATGTATCTAAAGCTAAAGATACAGACGATTTTCAAGAATATGCTACCACTGCATCTTATTCAGCATTCTCAACTAGTTGACTAGTAAAAATTAGTAGTCACGCAAACCCGAATGTAAACTAATAACATCTCCCATTATCACCTTCAGACTAAACAAAACGATCAATAACGAAAACAAGTGTGCGTAAAAACTCTCCAATAACACCAGAGGTCAGATTAGCGTATGAAGAGAACGGCCCAGGTTTTGGAGTGAATTAGCCTTGTGTTGGTGTAAGACATGAGAGTGTGACCTGCTAATGCTCAGGAAGGATCTCTTCATCCCTCCATTAGTTAGGCTTCCCATCCACATGAAGTCACTCTGCATTAGCTAACAGGCCTCTTTCTGTTATCGCTCGCCTCACCATTGGAGAATATTACGAAAGTCTTTAAGACGGGGTGACCTTTGACACACAGAGAGAGGGGCACGGCATGTCTAAAGGAAACAGATGGAGGTTAAGGCCTGTGGGAGATGTGAGTGAGGGGGATGATGGAGAGATACAGGAGAGAGTGAGAGAAGCAAGAGAAAAAGACTCAATCCTACATGGAGTTATCTGTCTTTATTAAGACTGCTGTGCTGTCTCAGTCTCTTGTGACTCTCTCTGATGACTCAGTTTCAGTCAGAAAGAGAAATAATTACTTGGTGTATGTCAGACAGTAAGAGTGCTCGACCGTAAAAACATCTGGTCATTAACTGAGCCATTCCACAGAAGTTCATGCCAGGTCAAAGTTAGCCGAAGTTACTCAGAAATTGCACTTTGAAGATTATGTGACCTCCAATAGCTAGTCTTCTGCAGACCATAATCAGGACAGCTTCTTTTTGTTCATGCACAAAAGCTCCAAACTCCACAACTAGCACCAAAACTAAGCTAGGGATGTAAGAGCAAGTATGCTGGTCAATACCGATTAACATTATTTTCAATTTAGCCAAATTATTTGCAAACACAAAAGGGGAGAGAAGTATGTAGAACTTCATGTAGAACTTCATGTATGACTTCATAAATGATTCTGTGAAAGAAATACTATTTAGAAAATATTGCATTAAAAAAACACATTTTCTTTTTAATTTGTTCTTACTAACCTGCATTTGCTTAAATATATCTGCATTTATTTAATCACTCTGCTCTCTACTTATACTTTTTTTACCATCAGTCATTGAAAAATCCATATCAGACCACCACAAATGTGGGTGGGCCTGCTAATAAGAAATATCATAGCAATATAACCAATCTATACTATTTTGTCTGCCTTAAAACAAAAAATAGAGATAAAAATTAATTTAAAAAATAAATTCATTTATATATTTTTTAACAACAGAATTAATAATTTGAAAAAAATATATACATAAATAAACACTGGTCAAAAGTTTGGGGTCAGTAAGATTATATTTATTTTTTTGTTTAGGCAACACTTTATTTTAAGGTGTCCTTGTCACACGTTACATGTACTTACTATTATAATAATAATTAATTATGCATAATTACATGCAAGTAACCCTAAGCCAAACCCTAATCCTAACCATATAGTAAGTACATATAGTTCATTAATATTACTCAGTACTTAAATGTATAATTACACTGTAACAAGGACACCTTAAAATAAAGTGTAACCTGTTTATTTTTTAAGGATGCATTAAATTAAATATGAAGATATTCATTATGTTTCAAAAGATTTATATTTCAAATAAATGTTGTTCCTTTGAACTTTATATTCATCAAAGAATCCTGAAAAAACTTATGAGGGTTTTTCAAAAATATTAAGCAGCACAACCGTTTTCAACATTAAAAAGAATTAGAAATGTTTCTTGAGCACCAAATCAGCATACTATAATGATTCTTGAAGGATCATGTGACACTGAAGTTGATTTTAAAACACATTCAAACAGAAAACAGTTATTTAAAATTGTAATAACATGTCACTGTTTTAGTGCGCTTAAGATCAAATGAATGCAGCCTTGAGCATAACCTCTCCAACCCTAAACCTTTGAAAAGTAGTGTACTAGAACAAGTAACTACAAATAAATCACTAATACTTAGTAATGCTGATATGGTTACTGAAATATAGTAATATATCAAAAACTACACCAGAATGAACAATGGAGAATGTATCGTGGGTGTCCATGTAACATATAAGAGCTAAATCTAATTTAGTTTTACAAATGGTCTCCCCCAAACTCCCCCTTTACAGCTGAAGTACTTAACACTTAACCCCTCTCATTTACCCTACAAAATGTCGTGATGAGTTTCCCTGAGCCAGCAGCACTCGATGCTGACCCCACAGCCCTGCCCTTGCCTTCAAACAGAGCTGTGGGTTAATACTGCTGACCCGCTTGAAACAGCAGATGCAGCAGTCTGAACACCACAGGATACCCAGCTCTCTCCCACAGGAACACACAGTCTTCACTTGCACTACCTGTTCCTCCCCACTGAAGCATTGAAGGAATAAAACCATGAGCACATGAACATATGACTGTCCATATTTAAACAATGTCTATTCAGTGTTCAGCACCTTGGTCCTGATGAACAACAGTAGGAGCTATGCAGGTACATAGAGGTTTACATACATACAGTCTTAAAGCACACATTTAGCATCTTAATGCACATAAAGCTCTGAATGTGTGCGGTGGAGCTTTAGATTTCTCTGCTGCATGTCACCGTGCTATAAGTAAGACATGCATCACCAGAAAGTGTGCGTTTGCGTATGAAGAGAAGAGAAAGTGAGAAATGCGGAGTGTTACACTAACCTTCCGCTGAGAGAGGAACAGTAAGGCACCACATGTATTCCTAGAGGCCCTTGTTCTCCTGAAATCTCCACCGTCCTTGTGAGGCTGCATACACACAAGAACAAAACCCATCAATTACAATATTAAGAAGTCAGAAGGCACAACACAATCCCGTGTAAACTCACTGTCTCCTGGCCCTCAGATCTCTCACACGCGCGGGTGCCGAGCCGCCGTACATGTCTGTGCTAGTCAGCTCTCTAGCACATGATCTGGTTTTCCAACATACCCTGCTGAAATAGTTTCCATGTTGCCTGCCTTTCTGACTTGTTTTCAAATGTTCCTCTTTTTTCCCTGTTTTCCCCTTTTTCAGCAGTTAATGTTCTTGGCATGTGGTGTGATGATATAGCGGGAGTGTAAGTGGATAACTGTGGACAGAATGGTCCGTTGCACTGCTGCACCGATCATTCGCCTTTAATCCACAACTAATAGCTCTTCATGGTGGAATATTTGCAGTCATACATGAGCGAGTACAGTGAGACACTGCAGGAGCTGGATGAAAGCGTGAGAGAGAGAAAGACAGGCTGAGACCAACCGACAATGGATTTGAAGTAAACATGACACACCAAACTGTTATAAAGCATTTTATGAAACGGATAAGTCTGGAAGCTGATTGGTTAGTGCAGTATTTCATGTTTGGCTGGTTAGTTCC